TCAGCCAGAAACTATGTCTCATATCACCATAGAGTCATGTTGAAGTTTTAATCAGGAAAACTGAGGACCTGTTGGAAGAATACGGTTCATTTTGTTGTACCTCTAATTGGTGAAGATGTCCCACTGCATTAGCAGAGATCTGAGAATGGACAAAGGAGGCGGTTAGGGTAAAGGCTCAATGCAGTCTGGAAACAATCTGAGGAAGTGACGCAAAATGAGGATGATTACTGGTATGTAGTCCTCATATGTGCCATGTCCACCTGACAGAGAAACCCCTGTTTCTGCAAGTATCACTCTGGGAAGGAATGCATGTGGTCAGGATGTATCACTCTAGGCCGAGGACGTACGCGGTGTGGCAGCGTCTTTGTTAGAAGATTTTACATGGTTATATTGAAGGAGGACACTGCTTATTTATCAGTTCCCAGTATCTGCAACAGAAATGAGCCCAAGGGGCATTGATGAACACATTAAGGACCCAGGGATTTTATAAAGGAGAGCCTTGGGTCACCGGCTCTTGCTAGCGAGTGACTGGTGGTCTAGCTTTGGCTCAGAAGGCTCGGTTGGGCTCAGCCTGAAGAATCCGCAGAGCTCCACCACCCACACAGAGAAACTCTGTGAGCTTGGTGTCAGGTGGAGCTGGGGGGCTGGACAAGGACTCACCAAGCCCCTGGCCCAGTTCCGCAGAAGGATCTGACTTTTGATGGTGTGTGTGTGCAGCAGCTCGGATTACCCAGCCTTCCTGTCCTTGAGGGGGGATTCCATCGTTCCTCTGGTGGTCTTCAATGAAAATAATTATGTGATTGTACCAAATGGTGTTATTTCTTTCTCAGACCTCTGAGCTGTTCAGTCTGTAACAAACCAGATGTTTTGGCTTAATGGGGTGCACCTGCTACCAGGCCACACACACACACTGACTGTCTGGAACCGGGATAAAAGGAGGGGCAGCCCCTGAGTCGGATCCCCACCTGGTGGTGATCTGGATCCATCGGCAGGGAACCTGCAGAGACCTTGTGCAGTAAGTTTCCTGGGGACCTCTGGTGGCTCCTGTCCATGAATCCTTCCCAGGTTTCAGACATGGACCTTCATTTATCTGTGAGGGTTAACCGTAGGAGTGTTTCTTTGTGCGCATCCCCTGATTGTTCAAGTTCAGAATAAAATCCACGCTCAAACTTCTGCAGAACAAGAATGTCTCTCAAGTATTTTAGAAGAGGCTGAGAACATGCTGTTGGAGGCCACAGTGGGCTTTGGCAACCTGGTTTTCTTTTTTGTTAAACAAGTGACATAAGCAAAAAAGAAAAGAAATGTATGGATGTGTAGGAGAGATTCAAATAGAATCAGTGAGCTTGGTTGGGATGTTTTTGGAGGAACTATTTTCTGGCTGTCAAGATGTGAGGGAATGCAGGTATAGGGTGAAAGGAGGAAGTCGGGGTGTGTCTGTTGTCTGTAAATCTGTAGGGCTGTTGTTTAGACAGTGGAAGAATTGATTATCCTCCTGATTTCAAAGGGCTGGATGAAACGGGGGAAAACGCTTCCAGAAGTCCACTTCGAGAGATCTGTCCGTGACCTTGTTGCCGTTGCGTTTAGGTGCTGTTTGAGAGTGTTAAGGGTCACCATAGTTCTGTCATCTTCAATGGCTTAGAAGGAGGTTATATGGTTTAGAAAATCATGGTCGAAGTAACTTGCCCTTATTGGCACCGAGCAATCTCCAACTGCCTGAACTTTCCATGAGTCAGTTTGAATCGTCCCTGTCTAATGGTGCGTCCGAGGGAATAACATTAGTCTCAGACTAAAAGGTCGTTTTTAGAGTACTGGTGTAATAAGTGTCTCCAGTCGTCAGACTGGTGTGATGAAATTAGTTTGTTGTCCAGATAAACACAAAGTAATTGAGAAAAGGGGGACGCTTGGGGACATCAGGGGCCTTCAGTACTCTGAAAGGTGTGAGCAGGTGTTCAAAATGTTCCAACTCTCTTCCACTCGTCCTCCAGTTGAATAGGGGCTCCAAACAAAATAAAAAAACAAAAAGAGGTGAGTGACTGAAGAGAGTGTTTATTGAAAACAATATGAGAGAAAAAAGACACACACTCTCTGAATGCCTTCAGTGATTTTGTGATAGTACTGATGGAGATATTCGTAACCGAGCAGCAAACTGAGAAACCCTGTATGGGTCTTAGCAGAGGGGAGCAGACAGCCGGGCCACCACAACCAGACACACTCTGACAAATGTGTGGTGATTCGATTGTGAGCTCGGGGTGAATGATGGTCCTGAAGAACTTTGTGGAGCATTTAGCTCCTGTTTCAGGGGGCTTGTGTGTCACTGACAGTGATCGATATCCCAGCAGTTAAAGCAGGTATGGCCTTATTTCCTAAGAGGAAAAACAACACACAGGCCACAGTCTGAGTCTGTGGTTTGACACTGTTTCATGCTTCAATGGCATCTGTGATTACGTGTCGAATCTTTAAAAATTAACGCTCAGGGGCTCCACCAAGAGAACATTTGAAATTGGAGATGTTTCCAGTTTGGGGAAAAAAGTGAGGACTGAACAGGAAGAGCATGTCTAACTGCTCCACACAGGAACCAGATTGGGATGTTTATGAGGGGTTTATCTGGGTAATCGTTATCTTAAGCCAAGAGATGACAGAGAAAAGAGATGGTTGACAGTCCTGCGCTGTTACTTCAGCTCTTCTCTTTACTTATCATGAGGATCCTTTTTTTGTTAAAGCTGCAACAGAATTGTCTTTGATTTCCTATGAACTGGTCATGCTATCATAAATAGTTGGGAATTCTGCACCCTCATATGCCACTAAAGTAAAATGTTCACCACTGATCCAGATCCTGATCCAGATCCTGATCTAGATCCTGATCCAGAAACTGATCAAGATCCTGATCCTGATCCAGATCCTGATGACTGTGCACAAAAACTGGGCAAACTTAAACAAGCTTGTGGAACCAGCCAGTGTCACATGGGCTAACTGTATTTGTTGATGGCTCAAAACCGGCATGTGTGCTGGTTGTGGTTTAGCAGAATTAAACCAAGAGAGCTCATCTCTCCCCACAACTCATGTTGCATGTGGGGTAAATGTGTTCCCCAGTACTTCTTGTTCTCTGGCTCCATATGGTCTCATGGTATGAGTTAAAGCTGACCACCTTAAGGACGATCGGGTGTCACAGTCACATGTTTAATTGCTACTGTGATGTATTTATTGAGGATTTGATGAGAATGTGAACGGGTACTGGTGTGTTTTTAATCCAAGACCTCAAAGTCGCCGTTTTTATGTGTAGCTGCCCTTAAACATCAGCGGAAAAAGCATATTTTGTCCCAAAGCCACGGCGCCCTGGGACCAATGTTCTGCCGGGCTTTGTATTTACAGCACTAGCGAGTGATGGAGGAGCCCCGCAGTCCATCCCAATAACAGATTGTCACTGTGATGACGATGCCACACGGGGAGAGAGCAACAGCCTGAGTTCATCCTCCTGAAACACTGTTTACTTCCTGGCAGGTCAGGAGGCCACATTGGAGCACACACACACATACACAGACACGCACACTTACATGCAAACATCTAAATCCTCTCTCACAAATGATTACATTTTCTTTATGAACGTCCGTGTTTTTGCCAAATAGTTTCATTTCCTCTGAAAAGATAAATGCTGAGAGCTTTTAACGCAGAAAACAACCCGTGAAACAATCAGATGAAGGAAACAGAAGTTATACATCATTATTATTTTTTGTCTCAGCTGGTACTTTGAGTGTGTTTCAATCCGCAGCACTGCATGGGATACATGGGAGTTTTAAAGTGCCTCTGCAGCACTATAAATCACAAAAAACATGGGCTCTATAGATAGATTCATATAAACATACAGTCATTAGTACATGCAGACACACACACACATACACAACAAGACAACTTCCTTTCACATGAGTTACTGCTCCTCCACAATAGCTCCAATAATAGTTTCCCATCTCTGTGCTGGTGACAGAGACGCCCCCTCCCTGACCTCTCCGTGCTGGTCATGGGGGCACATCGCAGCGCTTCTGGTTTCATTCACACCAACGAGGCAGCAAACAGACAGCTGGGAAAGGGTTTCATCCCGGCAAGAACGGGGTCTTTCCCCCGCAGAAACACAGCAGGATATCACCTGCCGACTGAGAAGAAAGCCGGCAGAAGAACATCCAGAAGGTTGTGTTGTCCTACTCGGTTTTCAACGCCTATAATACCTCATATTTCCAATGATATGAACATCAAACTGAATGTAAATGTAACGACGGCGCTCTGAGGCATGCCGCTGATCGCAGGCGCTTATGTTCTCAGATCCCACAACAAGCCTGAGAAGGCCCAGATTTAGCGGTTGCTCTCCAGCTTATCGCACAAACAATCAACGGAGAAAGTTTGCGTCTTTATTCTCCCAACACGGTGGATTTCAACTCAAATCTCCGCAGAGAGAAACAGAGATTCAGAGGTTTAAGATTAAAGTAAGTCAGATTTCTTTTTGAGTGGAATAATTAGTAGATCCAAACTCAAACAGCCTAATCTGAAACCACAAGTGGGAATCACCCTGTGTGCAGTTCAGGTACATTAGGAAACCTCTTCCTCCCTCACCTTGTTTGTATGCCATTGTTGTGTGACTGTAACCATCATATTAGATAGCTTACATTTGTGCAATAAAGGATCTTTTTCCATCTCCTGATTCGCAACATTTGCATATTAAATTATAGTTATTGAGACAGCAGAAAGGAAATATTTTTTGTCATGATTAGGATAATGTCGAACTATTTTCAGAATTGTCCAAACTATTTTCAGAATTGTCCAAAAGATTTAAATTAATCTGCAATGTATGTCATTTATTTTAAGATCAAATTAATTCCACTGAACATTTCACTGTGGAATCCATCTACCACTCAACAATATGCTGGAACTTCTTTTCCCACGGTACAGAAGAAGACATCTCTTCCCATTCAATCCTTCTAATCCTGCTGTGTGAGGATCCAAAAGATCGAGCAAAACTTTCAGGATTAAAGGAAACATTTTCCAGTTGCACCCTTGACCTCACAAGATGTATTTATGGCCTCTGCAGAATCGTGTCAGAAAATGAACGTGTGCGGCTCACAACCCGGCGGAATTTCCATGCGGGGGAAGAAACTGGAACACTTCCTCGATCTCCGGAGCAGCAGCACAAACACCAGGCGCACTGTCAACACTGCAGCCGTCCTGCTGCAGCACACCTGCTGGACAACTGTCCGCCTGGTCCTGAGGGAGGCCTGTGGTTTCCACATCCTGCGGCAGCTGGCTTCTCAGGTAGCCCTGCTCGGCCCCCAGGAGCCCAGGGCCGGGCAGCGCTTTGCCTTAAAGCTGTTGACCAGCATCAGCGCTCTAAATCCATTTTAAAATCTGTTTAAATCCATTTTCTACTTCAATTTCATTTTCTATCCATTTCCACTTTTCAAATCCATTTTCTATTCTAAAAAGGTCAATAATTGTGGACATTGTATTGGTCCTCCTTTTGGCTCGAACAGTAACATTTATACAGGACTGTCTCAGAAAATTAGAATATGGTGATAAAGTTCTTTATTTTCTGTAATGCAATTACAAATCATGAAATGTCATAGATTCTGGATTCATCACAAATCAACTGAAATATCGCAAGCCTTTTATTGTTTTAATATAGCTGATTATGGCGTACAGCTGAAGAAAACTAAAAAATCCGATATTCTAATATTTTGAGATAGTATTTTTTGGGTTTCTTAAGCTGTAAGCCATAATCAGCGATATTAAAACAATAAAAGGCTTGCGATATTTCAGTTGATTTGTAATGAATCCAGAATGTATGACATTTCATGTTTTTTAATTGCATTACAGAAAATAAAGAACTTTATCACAATATTCTAATTTTCTGAGACAGTCCTGTATATTCATACATTTATACAACCTGCTCTAATTTGTAGCTGAAACATTTGTTTTTCTGTTTCTTGCTTCCTCGTCATCCTTTTGCTCCAGGCCCCCTTCGAAAAGGTCTTGGAAAAGATTCTCAAGGAGCAAAAGGCCAAAGCGCCTCCACTCATTTTGATACAACCTCAGGACAGCATGTCAACTGGTTGAAGACGGAAGAATGTGTCTGCTGTGAGAAAAGCTCTAATAGCTGACGAAAGCTTTTGGACAAAGACTGACAAGTGACGCAGTTCTATGGTTTGCTGCTGATGGTTCTTAGTAAAAAAAAAAAAAATTAAGCTTTTTCTTCCTTGACATGTAGACTTTTTCAAACCTGAGCACGTTGTTCTCCCTTTTTGGCGCCACGGTTCTGGTGGATGAAGAGCACCTCGGCCTCCGTGGGAATAAAAGAAACATTTGCTCTTTGAATGTTTATCTGCCGTTTTCCTGCAGATCAACGGTCACCTCGGGACTGGACGCCCGCCATGGAGCAGCAGAGGGAAACGCGCCTCCCTCCGTGGCATCGCTGTGTCAGAGCCAGACGCTTCCTCGCATTGCTGTCGGCACTGAAATGCCAGGAGTTAGGGAACGTAGCCTTCATCCAGCTCTGTGATCTGCTGCCCACACACACACACACACACACACAGACACACACACACACACACACACACTCACACACACACCGCAGCGAGGACAGGCCCGTACACGACGCCAACGCGGCTGAATCGCTGAGCTTTTTGTGTTGTCAGTCTAGCTCTTTCAGGCCGGGGACTGTTCCAGGGTGTGGGTGATGAACTCACCGGGAGGAATGTTCATGTGTGTGCTTGTCTTGCCTACGATACGGGGACATCAATCTGTTGTCGCGATCACACAGCGAGGACCCGACTTCCTTTTGGGGACAAAAAGCTGGCAGAAGTAAATCCCTCATTTTCTGCTCTAGGTTCGGACACAAGGCTGTCATGGGGGTACTTATCAGAGATGAACCCTCTGAAATGATGGGCGCAAGGCCCGTGTTTGTTTGTGTATCCCCTCGATGCAAAAGTGGACAAAGTGATGCATTGATCTACAGATACATTAGTGTTTGGGGCTGTGAGGAATGCATTGTTCCATCAGAATATGCGCCTTAAGCCTCAGCAGCTCACCGATGGTAAGCCAAACCACTGGCTGCTTTCAAGGATCAAGCTACATTGAAAATGCGAAAACACATAACCGAGAGGAGCCGTTTTAGACAAAGACATGAAGACTTTTTTGAAGCATTTTGGCAGATCTGCACGTCAGGCCGGTTAAGCGCCTTTTCCTCAAAGTTATTATTAGCTTTACGGGCAAGAAACGTGTGCGTTTTTTTGCCAACTTCAAAGAGTTCTCGCAAAAGACAGAAATCCCGATGATGTGTGTGAGTGTGCGGCTGCAGACACTTCAGCTCTGCTATGATTAGACCTGCAGAATCATGCCAAAGATACATTAGCTGCTTAATCCAGCACCGGTCAACAAGGTCACGCAGACTCTGCTGCCTGAGGACAGTGCACACACACACACACACACACACACACTCTGAGGTAATGGGCGCACTTTCATTGCAGAACTTGACAGAGTAAGACGCTTGTTTTCAAGACAGAGAAATCAAATGTGAATTTCTGCATTTAAATCGCCCCCTAGGTGTTTGTTAAGATGGGATCGGGTTTCCCATCTTACAGATCCAGTTGTTTCAGTGTAGAAAAAAAGTCCCATCAGAGGACTTTTCTATGTGTATTATCATACTGAACTTGTGAAAAAAATCAACTTCATGCTTCAGGTTTAACAAGAATAACAGTAAAAAAAACTAAAACTTGACTCAATTACATAAATATTAATCTAATACCAAGCAATTATTCTAAATACATATAAGCCAATATGCACTCAGATAGTGAATAAGGTCTCTTTAAAATATGACTTCATATTTAGATGATGGTAATAGAAGATGAATCTATTTATACTAATCTTTAAATGACAAAAATAGTCACAGTACCAAAGTTTGGTATTCAGCTTTATCTATGAAGCCCCAAATCATATAGCAAATGTCATAAGCAATGCAAAAATCACTGTCCAATAAAACTGTCAAAAAACACTTTAAAGAAGAGTTTAAAACCACTATAATTACATTAATTCAAATCTTAATCAGCAAATTAATACAGTGAATTAAATAAAGGAGCTGAGTTCATGAAACTGACAGCTGGAGAGGAATAAAGGCGGTTCCAAAGCAGAGAGAAAGGACAGGCTGTGGTCAGAAATAAGCTATAAAGGGGAAGAAAAGCCACAAGACAGAAGCCAGAGGAGCTCCTGGACTCTCTCTGCTGTGGGAGGTCCACCGTGTAACTACAAAAATACTAATTTGTACACAAATGATGATGTCTTTAGTGAACATTCATGGGTAGAAGGCTGAGCTCCCCGATCCCTCACACGCCACCGTGTCAGATGGAGGGCTGAGCATCATTACACCTCTCCAGAGATAATTACACGTCCTACAGGGTCATTAGCTGATTTGCTAGATTGAGTTACGGCATCAAGTACATCAGAGGAAACTCTATGCCACCACCCCTGACTGACACACATGCACGTGCTGACACACACACACACACACACACATTCATCGATACTGCACATAGGAAAACAAGATGAGTTATTCTAGTTATTTTGTGAGTTTTAATCACACATTTATAGGTAAGTTCAATATTCTGA